CCATACACCCTGTAGTGCATCCATGCACTCTGCAGTGTATCCATGCACAGTGTATCGATGCACCCTGCAGTGCATCCATGCACCTATGACTGCTCAAACACCGAATGCAATTAATATATCGATGCACCCCAAGTGTACCGATGCACAGTGCATCCAGTCACCCTGGCTGCAACGGCTAGTTTATTTGAATTTAATGAAAGGGTACCGATGCACCTTGATAGTGTACCTATGCACTCTGTTATGGGCAGTCTATTATTGCAGAAAAATCATCCCCAAACGGCTCCAAAACATCCTCAACGGCTATATACGACTTCAAACTCATTTCAAGCTATAAATACAAGCTGAGGACACTTGAAAAATAAGATAACAACTATCCAAGCAATCAAAAACAATAGAAGAGCTTTTTATTCTTATTTTCCTTTCTCTTGTAAATATTTGTTCTTGTAAACTTAATTCTTGTAAACACCTACCTTAGAGGGGTTTTCTTGTTTACATTTCCTTTCATCGTAAAGGGAAAAGGTTTTAGCTAAGCCCGTGTAAAAGCTAGAGAAAGGTTCTAGTTTATCCCGTGAAAAACTAGGGAGTTGTAAAGGTTATCTCTTTGTCCTTGAAAATGAAATAACAAATTAGTGAATTTGTTGGAAAATCCTTTGTGAGGAGCTAAGGTAGTGGATGTAGACTTGGTTGAGAAGTCGAACCCCTATAAATCGCTGTGCAATTCTCTATCTTTCAATCTCCTTACTCCCTAAACACAAAAACCGTTCCGACCCCTCTTTGCAAGCAATTTGATTGTCGATTCGAACGTCTGAAAATCCCAACAGATATAATGATGCCATAATCAGATGAGAATTGTACATGTTTGATTATGTCATCATTGCGTCTTTGAATATCGATTTCCATTCTATTATATGGAGTGGTGAATTTGTACAAGTTGAGGCAAATGGGAATTGTTGAGCATTGGATTACTTCTCTTGAAAGTTCCTATAGTGGGAGGCTTTTGATCCAATCCATCATTGATGGATGCATTTTCCCAAAATGATCTCTAATGAATGTTTCAAGTTTGTAGATAAGGATTCATCGACTGTTGGAACCAAACTTTTCATTTTTGAAAGGAAAATAATGTCCAATGATGTTTATAAATATAACATTTTGATGCACACGTGGACATCCGAGGTGTTGATGGATGCACCTATGTGCTTGTTTAGATCCGTCAGTCTGGATGAAATCACAAGTATTGTCGGTGGTTGTGATTAAAGTGGAAATGTTCTAGACTCGACAGAGCTTTATAATTCTGAAACTAGAGAGTGGATGACCATCCCAAGCATGAAGAAGGCAAGAAAAAAAGTGTTATGTCGTGTTTATAGACGAAAAGTTCTATGTTACTGGCGGTGTTGGAGTTGGAAATTTACAAACATTGACATGTGTAGAGGTGTATGATCTGAAGATGAAAACCTGACGCGTGTTACCTAACATGTAGGCTACACAAAATAAGGGGATGGATAAATAAATGCACCTCCTCTAGTGGTTATTGTAAATAACGAGTTGTATGCAATTGATCATGCACTAAAGGTGGTAAAGAAATATAATAAAGAGAGAAACATGTGGGTAACTCGGGGGCCATTATCTAAGCAAGCAGACTCATTGAATGGTTGAAGAATACCCTTTACAAACATGTGGAGAGCGGTTAGTGATTATTGGAGGACCTAAGTCCTTTTGGTGAATGGGTGATTGAGATAAATTCTTGGGTACCAAGGGACGATCCGATTGAGTGAATCTTGTTCACGAGTAAGTTCTCTCACATTTTTAAAAAAATGTGTTATGATGGGACATGAGTAAGCCCACATCTTCAAAGTCAACTACATCAAAAAGAACAATACTTTAAAAGGAAAGCATCACACTGTATAAAGAACTCACTGAATTGCGGACCAATGATGTCGGCGCCACAAAGTAATTTGTTATCATACAATGACAACAAGAAATGACAGTGACCATAGCTTGACTGGATAAAGATCAATACAGATAGGGTGCCAACTATGGAGTTGATGCAACAATTGGAGAAACATTTAGGGACGATAAAGGACGTTGGATCTTTGAATTCTCTAAAAACATAGAAAATGTTCTATAATTTTATCGGAGCTTTAGGGATGATAACGAACGTTGGATCTTTTGTACATTTGTTGTTATATATAGAAGATATTTAACAGATCAGTATGACCAAATTTTGAACCTTTCTAAGAAACGGAAGGATATTTAGAGTATGGGAATCTCAGATAAATGAAAAAGACAAAAAGATAGAAAATAAAATATACCCAAATATTAAAAGTTGGAGAAAAATATAAATATAAATATAAAATTAATATGTAATACATGATTAGTAAAAGAATTCACAAAAAAATAAGAACATTGTCATTCTAATTTTATTTGTTAATTTGTTTCATTCATTTTACTGATAAATGTATTGTTTATGTCATAATCACTTTTCAGTATAAAAAGTTTCTTAAATTAATAATTAAATAACCGTCGTCTGTAAACATGGATTGTGTGAACCAATGTTTGTTTTATTTTTTTTTTTATTTTTTTTAAATAACCAGATATTCATTTATCGAAGTCGTATCAATAAACGTCTTGTCAAATACCAACTGAGCAAATACAATCACGATTATCGAAAATAACATATAACAATGATCGCTTAGAGATAGTCTCAAAACAAAAATATTAACAAGTGAAGCAACTACGTACAAAAATTGAACATACCAACGACTCCGAGCATTAAACATGGAGGAGAGAAATTTGAAGAAGCACCAAAATGGCCAACGAAAAAAATGATCTCCCCTTAACAGCAATCTCATTCGGCACCTTCATACGATAATCAACGAACCGTATTGAACAAATGAACAGAGGAACCATGCATCAGAAAAGCAACAACAATATATTCAGGTAAAATAAAAAAAACTAAGAAGACAACCAAATAAAAAATATACACCTAAAGTTTAAAAACATCGATAGTCATAATACCTTTTATTAAAGAAAGGGTTAAGAGTATTATTATAGTAAATACGAGAAAACCTAACAAAAACTAACATGGTGATGATCGGAGAAGACCATCACTGCTACCGAACGAAAAAATTTGAAAACTATAAAAAAATGTTAATAATTGCCTCGAAAAGTTTGTGAGTGAGTGAGTAGAGTTTCGTGAACCAATGTTTATTGAATAAAAGGACAAAGAAAAATCCAAAATTATCACACACCAAACTTGCCTCATACTCCTATGGCAGTTAAGGAAAAAAAACGGCCCAACAATTGATTTTTTTTCTTTATTTGGACTATTTCACATTATCAAATGATTTTACAATTTACATCACAATAAATAAGATTTTTAGTCATCACTTAATTGTAATATTAAAAAATTTTAAAGTTATGAATAAAATTATTTTTCCATTTTTCTAATGAGTAATTATAATTTATTTCTATTTGGTCACTTTTTAAATAACAATTATGATAACTTTAAAGTATATAAAAAGTAATTCGTCACTAATAGTATTTTATTGTGATTAAAATAAGTTGTCATTATCAATTAGTTACTAATAAAATGCTTGAATTGACGTCAACTTATTTTTCGTGAGAAAAACTATATTAGTGACTACATATTAAGTATTCACTATTATGAATATTTATAGTTGTGACAAATACATTTTATCACTAGTCTTAGTTGGTGATTTTGACAGCAATTGTTTGTGTCATTATTGAAGTGAATAATTGTGTATTATTTTTATTTGGTGGCTATAAGTTTTGACAGTGTCATTTTATCTTCAATTATGATTTGTTTTTCTTAAAAAATGATTAAATTTTATATGTAATTTATTATATTTACTGAGAAATACATGAATATTGTAAACACCAGTTAATTATTAGTATTTTATTTTTTTTAATTTAAGACTTCCACCAAAACGAGTTAACATTGTTAAATATTTTTATTTTATTTTATCAAATATAATTTAAGTACATTTGATATTTTTTTAGGTTTAAACCTTAATATTTATATATTTATATTTTAAGATCAACCTAATTATTTTTTATATTTTTTTTACCACGAATGTATTTCATATGAGAAATTATAAAAATTTTAATTTAATTATTATTATTATTGTTATTATAATTAATATGTTTTTTATAAAATAAATAAAATTAATTACAACAATATTTTAACTTAAATATTATTTCTTGTGTCAAAAAAATATTTCTTTAGTGGTTAGGCGTTGCACCCTTCTCTTGAAGGTCCCAGGTTCGATCAAATTAAAAGTAATGTATTGTTATAACATATATTACTTCGTAATCGCATTAGCTTAATAAAAAAAGGCATGTATGGTATTAATTTATCAAAAAAAAATATGTGGAACCAGCAACTATGACTAACAGATAGGCACTAGATCCCTTCAAATTGTGTTGGGACGGTCGTCCTCGCCTATGTAGTATCCGATCTAGATTAGTCGATTAAAAAATCGAATATTGGTGGTTATGCAAAAAATAAACATGTTAAGGCATCACATCATCTATCGTATGACAATTATTGCAATGCAAATTCCTAAAAGTGATAAATACAACTAAAAATATAATATCTACGATAATTGATTTCATAATAAATTTTTTAATTAAAGAATTTAATTATTTAGTTGTAATAAAATATCTATCACTAATAACGATAATATTAATGTCTAAATTTTTTTTTGTTATTAATATTTTTATATCAAAAATTGTGGTTACAAAAACATAAATAATTGTGACAAAATTCATTAAAGTCGTCACGAGTATAATAGTAACGGAATTATTAGTAACTACTAAAAAATTATCACTACGACATTCAGTGATTAAATTTGATAATTTTAATAATCATTCTTAGTATAATCTTTAAAATTGCAACCTCTTAATCAAAAAAAATTCACCCTCGGCAAAAATTTATACAAAGTATGCATAGAAAAATAATGGAGAATCCAGTTCACGTACAAAGTACCCCAAAAAAAATGTAACACTAATATATAAAGGCGGGAGCAGCAAAAACAAGATTAGTTGCTAAAACTAAAGCGGTATATGAATGAACTCCTTGCCATCCTGAAATGTAATGAAATGCTTTATATCATATATGAACATTGCAGATATAAGAGGAAGCTAAATCTGGGAATCATGATAATATGTTGACGACCTGCGCCCCGCGAGCAACCTTGATGAAGACATCCTCGAGAGTGGTGTCCGCCAAACCCCATGCAAACACTGTAAACCTGCTCTTTGCATTCTCGACTGCTTGGAATACATCTGCGATTCTCACCTCTTGCTTTGGCATCTCGAACTTCTGTGTCCCCGATATTTGGTATATCTTGTTAGCTTTTGGCGAGAGATGGTGTACCATGTTCTCTACTTCTTCCTCGTGATTCAATGACGTTGTTATAGTAAATATGTAAGATCCTCCGTATCTACCCTTCAGCTGTTGTTCACAGTGTAACGGCAAGTTAAATGTAATACAACATATACCAATCACTGGCTACCTTTGTTTTAAAAAGTATTTTAGCTAAAATCATCTCGGGTTTATTGACTTGAGAATATCCATGGAAGGTGAAACTTACCTCTTTTGCATTCCCTATGCACTGCAAGCTTCCGTCTACAAAAATCCCTAATCGATCGCATAGAAACTCGGCTTCTTCCATCGAGTGCGCTGAAAACATTCAGATAATGTTGGTTGGTATCTAAAGGCCAATAGTTCTCACCTTCTATAAATGGTACTTCTTTTACATGCACCGTTTTCTTCTTTCTATGTTTAAGTAAAAAAGGGAAAGCAAGGCATGCAAATGGGCTACTAATATCAAGAACGACAAATCCGGGATGCAAGTGATGCATGTTCAATTATCCAGAAAAGAGAGAATGAGAAATACTTGTGAGAATAATTGCCCTGTCTCGTTTTGCCTGCTTCACAACACTCCACAAACTATTTCTTGAAGCTGGATCGAGACCAGTACTGGGTTCATCCATATAGACAACCTTGCAAAATAACAATATGATTAAAGCAATGAAGAGAATCGGAGGATTTAAGTTCAGGAATCGCTTACATAGAAATGAAGAGTGCACTCTTACCTTAGGATCCCCAATCAGTGAAATGGCAACGCTGAGTCTCCTCTTCATACCTCCACTGTATTTTCCGGCTTGTTTATCGGCAATCCCTCCATGAAATAGGTTGACACTCTTAAGAGAGTCTTCCACCGCCTGCAGAAATGGTGTGGTAATGAGGACCAACAGAGCCAAAACATTTTTACAAGATGTGAAGATGATAAATGGAATCATATAGAAGAGCCTCTAGACCATTATATTTGAATGTTAAATAATATTTATGCAAGTAAAATCCACAACAAGCTCAGGACATATAGATAATTTTGACTTACTTGATTTAATGCAGAACCTTTGAGGTTCTTCAGTCTGCCATAAAATAGCAAGTGCTCCCTTCCAGTTAGAGATTCCCAGAGCAGGCTAGTTTACAACAAAAACAAAATAAGAAATCTTTAAACAAAGAAAATTATTTATTTCTTGGCAGAGGCAATTATATCATACTCGTGCTGAGGGCAGACACCCATGCTTGTATAGATTGTATCCATGGAAGTCAATATATCCAAACCCTGAACGTATGCCGTCCCTGATGTTGGTTTTGTGAGCCCAATCATCTGTCCACAGAATAACACATTAATATTGCATACTTTTACCAGCTAAATCTAGTTCTAACTGTAGAAGATACAGGTGCTAGACTACAATAATCTTGCCAGCACCCTCACATGACAGAACATGCATGACCCTCGGGTTAAGTCCATAAAAGAATTCTACTCTTAATTAGGAATATATATATATATATATCATACACTACCATATTAATTAAAGATGTCTTGCCAGCACCATTGGGTCCCAGCAGGCCAAAACACTCTCCTCTAGGCAAAGCAAGAGAAAATCCTCTCACTGCAATTTTCTCAGGATTTCCATCCCTTGCAGGATATTTCTTTTTGAGGTTGTCACAAACGACCGGATAACTTGTAGTTGATTCAAGTAGCAACTGCTCAACCGTCTCTCGCTGGAAATCGGTGAATAAAAGAAAATATCATAAAAATGAGTTAATCATATCAAATTGAGGTAGAAAACAACACCTTGAAAAACAAACTACTGCGGCTTGACAATGAAATGCATAAAAAGTAGTTTTAATTTGCAATGGAGCCACTTGAGTAAAGATAATGACATGCAAGTTGGAAGGATATTGTTAGAGAAACACGGCTGGAGAAAATTACTAATATAGTTTCAGGAGGTGGAACCTGAAACCTCAAATGGCATTTTCAGCTCCGATAAAGGCATAACCAAGAAACCTATAGCCTTCCTATCGCATTATAGCAACTAACAGATGGAGAAAAAAACATTTTAAGGATGGAAAATAGGGGAGCGAAAATTTAATGCTTAGAAAGATTTAGATGATCAAATTGTTTTCTGTACTACCATTAGAAATTATCATGTTTAACAGAATAATAAAGATCCCTCACTGTTGGTGAGTGAACGACTGGTCCTTTAGAAGACTGTCCGTCGATTAAGGGAATGGTGGTCACTGACCCTTTCAAAGAAAACTTACCCCTGCATAAGAATATGCATTCTACAAAGCCAAAGAAGAGAAATTATGTTACCTCCTGATTAACATCGTCTTTGTCTATCTGAACAAAAACTTTTGATCCATGTCTTTGTAGACTGGGACTCTTTGAAGATAGTGCAGGCTGTCTCCGTAATTTATGCAAGAAAAACAGAGGGCTCTTCCCAGCACCCGAAGATGAAACCTGGTCTACATAAAAAGCAACAAATAGAACCAAAATCCACTCAACCGATATGATAATCATGACCTCACTCAACCCATTTCTGCTATCACTCACATCCCCCCACCGCATCCCATCTGTGCCCATAGCATTTCCTTGGAAAGAATATTGTCCAAACTCATATAATCCACGATACAAAGAGAATCCAGGAAATAACTCCAATACGATAAGCCAACCTCCTACAAGTAGCAAGTAGGGTGAAAGGTACAAGTGAAGATGGTTAGTTTAAATGAACAACAATAAGTCTTAAGAGATCAAAAGAAGATACATATTGCAGAAATGTGTCACAGCTATTCCAACTTTAAAAAAGCCTAATTTATGATTAGTATGGCCTCAGGTTGAATTCATTTATCAATTACTCACTAATCATTATATACCACCATTCAGTACATCAAAAGAAGTAATCGACTCCTATATGAGCCATGCATCAATGAATAGTACAAGGTAATTCAAATATTTATATTGGATGGGAAAGGAATAGTATCTGCCAACAAAATTAAATGCTAAAACCAATTTTCTTCTGGCCACAAAAGATATTAGCTTCTTTACAGCGCCATTTAATCGAGATATTAATTTCATTAACTAATAATTCATTAAAATGTTACATACTCGGAAATGATTCATCTTCAACGAAGGGCTGGAAGAGAAAGCCACCTAAAAGTCCCGCTCCAAAGACAAATATGTATCCAACAACTGTCAGAAATAAGTCAGTTAATTTCTTTAAAACAGAGTGGAGTTTTTCCAACTGAGAGAAGTAAATCAAAGAGCTAAGATAGACCTGAAGCAGTCTTAACATTTGAAAACAATGCAGCGACAAGGAAGGCCAGGGAAATTTGCAGGTTTATGTAGAGGAAGTAAAACACAAACTGGATGCTATAATCATTTAGTGTGAAAAACTTCAACCCTGGAAGGAAGTCAAACGCATTAAAGAGAAGCTAGAAGTAAAGATATTAAAGAGCAGTTAAATGACTAGATTAATACCAATGCCTGAGCCAAATATCACAAAACATAACATGTACAGCAAAGAGATGACAAGAAAATAAGCATAAGATATCATCCAATAAGGTCCATCTCCAAGACCATGCATTTTCATCATGACTCGAAGTTTTTGCTGTTTTTCATAGACCAGTGAAGTCAACACCACCTACATTGAAAACCAGAAAGTTGAGATAAATATAGAACAATAGATTATAGAGCCATCAAAATATTAACAGAAAGAGATAAAAACTGATAATGACTCTTGGGAAAATGAAATTGTAATTGTGACAACCTTAGATTAGATTTTCCATTTAATGAGTTTGCTCATAGCTTATGAGGCAATGCAGAAAGCCAACAACTAAGACATAGACCTGTTATCCAAATAACTTGGAGATGGGGTAAAGCAAAAAGGAAGGAATATTGCATGAAGAAGTGCATGGTTAGATTTTGCTAACTTGGTCTATGCCATTACATGAAAAAAATGGAGCACTGACAATAGTTAACCATGTCAATTTACAGTGATAACCTCTTATATCATCTATTTATAAGATAACACTAACAAAATGGACTCTTGGCCCTTCATGTGAATATGGTGCAGTGTCTATAACTCCGCCAGATTCATTTCATAAATTTACCTGGCCCCAAACTAGAAATTAAATTTGATTGTAGAAGTTATACTATCAAATAAATGTTACTAAATTGTGATAGTTTTGATGATGATCAACTTGATAAGGAGTAATAATATCAAAATTTTGCAACCATGGGGACACTGACTGTACTTTAAACCGGATACTAATGAATAAGAGATAAGTACTTACAGGGAATAGTTGTAGAATAACCCATGTAAAGAAGAGTGTTCCTAGAAGAGATGACAAATCAATTCTGAGTTTTGTTTCAGGTTTTGGCATTTCTTTGACAAACTCTAGCAGCATTCTTGTACTAGGCCCTCGCAAAAATTGAAGGTAGGCATTCGATACCTGTATATGTGACAATGGAAAATATCAATCTCCACAGGCTATGATCAGTAAGCTATTACTATATAAATTTGTGGAACAAGCAATAAATTCATAAAGAGTGAAGCACATCAGCAATGCAGACTGTATAACAAATTTGAACCATTGAGGCAGCCCTATTCTTTCATGTCACTTACTAAACCTAAATGCAATGCATACAGATAAACTATATAGTATAGCAAAAAAAAAACTCGAATATAGTGGGTAAGGCTTCTATTTGTACCTGAAAGGAACACCATAAGCCATTAAATGATTCAAGATTCATATAAAAGCATTTTGTATATATTATATTTGTAAAATAAACAAAAAGAAACAATCACTGGAAAAGACTCACTCTTCATGGTTTCCAAAACCTTAACTGCTTACTCAAAACAAATTTATCCCGCTAAAATATTTCCTTCTGACAAATGTTGATAAATTAAAACTATCTAACGAACCTAAACTGGATAGAGTATATGAGATGACCTTACATGAGATAAAACCTGAGAGCTTGAGTAATCAAAAGGCATAATATTCCACATAATTTTAATATAGAAATTAATGATGGATGGCATTCAGATTCAGCCAAGACATTGTGAGTTTAAGATGGTCTTCATAGATACCTTCACCTATAAGTAATAACTTTTGTGCTCAATCCAATAATGTAACAAATACATGAGAGTCTAAGATCAATCTAAGTTGTAAAAGTAATGTGGAAAAGAGGAAAGCTAACTTCAGCTAGTTCAAATATATACCAGATTTACATATCGGGGAATCCGCAACAATGACATAGACATTCCAGATCTGTAATCCCTATAGGTAGAGTTGTACCAGACGCTCACATTAAAATTACTGCCATCTGAGTTCAAGAAATCATATGCTGTGTGGAAAAGATAAAATTGTCAGAATTTTTATCCACCATTCATGATTTTACGTAAACAAGGCGTTACAATAGCAACAACACAATTTAAGTCAGAATTTAAGCTTTAGACTAACCTGCAACAAACTCATTTATCTTCTCTTCCACATTCCCTTTTCTGTAGCCTTTATACAGCTCATTGTTCACCTGAGAAGAACTATTCCTCCATAGATATAAACCTTGAGTGCATCTAATCTCTACATTCATAGAATATTAAAGAAATAAGCATAGATTAGGAATCTTCCTGAAATAAAATTTTAAAGTAGCATTGTAATTTTCTAGAAAGAAAGGTAATACTATAAAATTAGATCATAATTATTATAACTCCATCAGATAAGCTGATGGCACCATAATTCTCTAGTTCGGGACATTTAAATATACACAACGATTATATTCTTTAAGAGAAAGAAAAATTAGAGCATAATTATTATAACTCCATGTCCCTTATAAAACCATGCCTGATATTCTTGAAATTTTCTACTATGGCATTTCAACTAGCCCATTCAAGCACTCTCACTCTTATAAAAAGAAAGTCACTGGCATTTAATTAGAGAAAAAGATTCATTAAGAGAAAGAAAAATTGAAGAGCATGTACCGAATTCATCTGCTATTGATGATTGATTGATGAAAAAAGAAAATGTTGAGTTTGTTGTGCATTGACTTTGAACATTATAGATGGGAAGCTTTGAAGCAAAAGCGGGTTCAAGATAATTGTTATGCTCAGGATCTGTTTCTGTACCCTGAACCATTTTGAGAAGAAAAATAAGCAGATAAACAATAATCACAAACCAAAAGATGGAAGCTATATTATGGCATCAGATAAACCATTGCCAAAATCATAAACAGAGAATAAAGAACTACGTGAAAGTGGAAAAGGAAGGAACAAACAGGAGAACAACTTACCAGAACATTGCTGGACACACTGCCTAAAACATCGGAGGAATTGATATTGAAAGAAGTTGAGAACATACTCCGCGTCAGAACTAACAAAACAAGCAAAAGATCTTTAGATCTAACTTCGTCTTTCACTATAGCAGTTCGTTTAAAATCAAAGAAATTTGAATCCTAAGTTTGAAAAAAAGGGAAAGAGAGGTAAGATGCATACGTTGTCCAAGCGTTTGATTATTCCCAGTGAAAAATGATGTTGCGGGACAAGACCCCGTGCTTCTGCAAGACTCATTTTGCAAGTCTGCAGACATAATTGAATTAGTTCTAACGGCGCGATAGTTTGGACCTGGTATTTGTAACAGTGCTGGCCATTTCGGAGGATTCGGGATTGGACAAGCTGCTACTTGATCAGTTGTCGAGTACTGTATCCCACATTCTCTCCTCTGGCATCCACCATTTCCATCACTTTCAACACAAATACACCCACATCGACGATTGGCGGTGTCTAGTTGATTGTCCAACACACTTTGCAACACAACAAACAGCACGCAGAAAAAGAATGGGAAGGAAATCAGCCGCACATTTGTCCACATGTTCCTTTTCTGAAAAATAAAACAATGATCTAATAGTTAGATAAATAACAAAACCTTTTGAAGGCTTGTGCATTGTTATGGAAAATTCAATCCTATCTGACGATAACATCTATTTTGAATTGATAATTTTCGATTTTATAGAAAATAAATTTCAAATAGTTGTTTAACGTTAATGTAACAGAAAATTTTGGCCTAAATACACAATTGTTTAAGAAAATACTGATCCAACATACATTCTGACTTAAAACAGAAAACATTAAGCCGTAATTAATAATGATAAAAGATCAAAGTTCATCCCACCTAATAAACCAATTATCAACAACTGAAATAACAATAGCAATAATAAATACAAAGCAAAGCCCAGAAAATAAAAGAGTGGGATAAGCATAAAAAGAACTAACCCACCATTCATTATCATCTTCCTAGTTTCATTTTATTAAAAAAAAAGGGGGTTTTCACACCCAAAAAAAAATCTTTTTTTATAAGAAAAGAAAAGAAAAGGTGAGAAATTGTATGAGCTTCACCTGGAAAGTTAAATTCTTTCTGAGAAGAGCATTAGCCTGAGTCCAGAAACTGGCTGGACTCAATGTTGGACGATGATCCACCATTGATGAATCTGAATTTGCTTACCCAAATATTTAGTCCTACAATTCTGACAAAAATTGAGTGTTCGACTCTTCTGCTATCCTTTATAAGAGGAAAACAGAGTTCTTTTCTATGCTGATTCGTTTTTCCGAGTGCGTCTATTGGGATAAAAAAAATATTTTTTATTAAATTATTGATTTCTCCCTCTTTTGGCTTCCTTCCTTTGGGCGGCTGCGGAGATTTCCCCGGGGGTTTTAAACTCTGTTGGCAAAGTTAATCTGTTAAAATTATTATTGTACCCTTCACGCGTTTTCGGATCCTGGGAAGTAACAGAAATGTTTTTTTTATATTTATATAAAAACCAATATTTGATTAATTAGAATTAAATAATATGAAAATGTATTATAGAGATGATTCTTTCAAATTAATATATTTCATTTAAAATGTCATAATTTAAAATTTCTTATAGTATTATAAGAAATATGATCAAAATATATAACTTATGACTTGCCCAATGTCCACATACACTAAATAAATATTCAATTTAAACTCTTATTTAGGTTTACTGCATTGGCTTTATTGATTTTTAATTTATTAATAAATTCTTCTTTTTATGACATTTTTTAAAAAAAAATGAGATAAAATAGGTTTATTGTATATTAAGATATTCTTTTATTAATCTAGAATAAGTACAAAATAGTATTTGTTTAAAAATATATTCTCAATCATTTGACATTGAACGCTCACACCTTTGGTATTCTTAGTGTTAAAGCTCAGAACTTCAAGGAATAATAACAATTTTCTTATCACCGAAATCGATTTGCTCATGATATAATTTATTAAGAGTCAAATGTAACATATTTTATTACTACTATTTAGTGTGTGTGTGTATATATATATATATATATATATATATGCGCGCGCTTTAAATGTGATTATGCATATTATAGTTTAACATAAATATAATATCAATATCTAAATTTACAAATGGTTCTTGAATGGTCCAAAGAAATTGAATGGGATTAAATTTCTTGGAAATGTTAACCTAGGTTAAGTCAAGTCCATATCTTTTGCATTAAGTAAAGAATAAAATAAAACTTGACCATTGGTTCAGTGATAATTATATTGGTATGTAAGTGGTGTAACATTAAATAAATGAATATTAGCTTTCTGTTTTTTAGAGTCAATGGGTAATATCATACACAAATCAACATAAAAAATAATTAAAATATGAATTAATATCCAATAAATACCACCTCTATTCGTATATTTTTTTATATTGTCAACCATACGTTAAGTATCAAAATTGAATTAATATAATTTTTTTAGAAAAGTCAATTTGAAATTTCAGAGAAAAACGCTGCTGCTTGGGAAAGGCATGCAACGTGAATCAGCCAAGTCACAAAAGTCGGTTGATTTAACCCAATAAAGATAACGGTTTTTTTATTTAGTCTCTAAGAGCAAGTCAAAATTTATTTTAGAATTTACAGTATTTTTATTGTGTTATTAGAATTCGTCACGTTGATGCAATAATTTTTAATAAAAAAATATTTTTTATTCGAACTCGTCACGTTGAGATGACGAGTTTAAATAAAATATAATTTTTTATTAAAATCTATCATATCGAGATAAAAAATTAGAATAAAAAAATATTTTTATTGAAACTCGTCACCTCGATATGACGAGTTTCGTATCACTATAAAAAAGATCATAAATCCCAAAATAAATATTAACTTGCCCTAATGAACTAAATAAAAAACTCATATATCTTACTGGGTTAATTTTGCCGACACAAGTGTACGTGTTTTTCTAAAACATTAATACTAAAATTAAGTTAAAGATCTTGGAACAATAAATAAAAAATTCATTATTTTAATAATAGTAAAAGCTGAAAGTGGAAAAATAGGAGCATGGAAAACCAGCAGTTATAAAAAAAATGTAAGAAAGATACTCCAAACTCCTTCCCCTTACATCGTTAGCTCTTGTGTTGAACTTCTAAACATTTTCTGGACAAATAATTAATTCAGTTAATTTTCTATTAAAAAAAGCATATGTTTGTCCTCAAAGAAAGAAATAACGTACGTATTCTTTAATTGCGGTACAGAAAATGACACGTCACATTCTCATATTTCTCGTAAATTTCCAAATTTTGTGTCTTAGGTCGCTAAGGTTAACATCTTCTCCTATCACTTTTAAGAAGTCAGAATTAAAAATTCAAGTGTTCACAATTTTAAAAATAAATGTTATTTTTTTAAAGTTATGAGCTCGAATATATATATATATATATATATTATGTAGGAATGAACATAGGTTGGATTTTCGATCAATCTGACTCAACCAAAAAATATATACCCGAAACTCAATCAGATTCAGATTTAGGATTATTTCACCTGGCTCGAATTTGACTTACTTTTTTTGAGATAAAACTCAAACTCAATCCGACTTGAAACAAATATACTTGTAAAAGAATATTAATTTTATTAGATAAAATAGGAATCTAATTAAAATAATAATATAAAGAGGGATATTATTATAATATCTCTAAATATATAAGATATAATTATATTATCAGGTCGGATATTTTTCACCCTAAACTCAAACCTGACCCACACATATCATTTAAAAAATGCAATCCGACCCTAAAATTTAAAAAAAAAATGACCTAATAAGGTTGGATCAAGTTGAAATCAGTCGGGTTTGGATCTTGTGTCCATCTCTGATAGTTGTGTGTTATTATTAATTGATTAAGAAAATTCAGAAAAATATTGCATTCTAATAACATCCAAAACAATAAAAAAAAGTTAGAATCGAAGTAATTCAGTTAATGTTTTATAATAAAACCAATCTTCTATTAAAAATAAATTGTTTGATGAGATTCGATATAATAATAATTTGAGACTTTAATATATATATATATATATATATATATATATCCTATTAATTTAATCTTAATTCAAAATAACTCAATATATTTGATATTTTAACCCATTTAGTTTTTATTATGTTTCCAAAATAATTGTTATTCACCATTTATTACTGTTGCTCCTGCTTCCTTCATAGGTGTAGTCATCATCCTGTTTCTCACTGATCTCATCTTCTTCCTCTGTCATTGCAACCATCAAAACATTCCTCAAACAATAAAGCTTCACGCACACATGATCATAGTGTTCTATGTAGTTTTAGTATATTGGATTTGCTATTTTACGTCTGCCTATAGGGAGATACAAAATAAGTTCTTGGTTTTGAGTTTTCAACTTATCAATGTTCTTGATCCTAGGAATTAGCGTTCAATTGAGTCGAGTTAAAACATTTTGAATCATTCGAATTGACGAGTCATATTTTATAAATCAAATTTGATTTGAATTTTCTCAAATCAAGTTGAATTTATAAATTCAAGTCTTGAATTTCTATTTAAATTTAATTGTAATATTTATAACATTATGATAATATTTGATTTTAATTTAAATGATTTTTTATAATTATATACAATACATATTTATTTCTTTATATTTATTTCATATGTATATATATATAACTCGATTCAAATTTAAAAATCAATTCTCTAATTACAAAAGATTTTGAGTTATTCGAGTTATATTTTATAACTCGACTTAACTTGAATTTTTTTCGGATCAAGTATAATTAATAAAATTAAAACTCGAAATCAATTTGAGTCGAACTTTTTTGAATGAGTTAAAAAAATCGATTTTTAATTCAAGTCGAGATTTGTTGCGCCTACTTAGTTTAATCTTCAGTATAGCACAAAATCCAGCATCTTCAGAAATGTGTGACGAGCTTAGCCAAAATGTTGGTGTCTAAAACCGTAGGTAGGGGTGTAAATGAGTCGAGTTGAACTCGAGTATTGTTGAGTTCAACTCGACTCGAAAACTCTAAAATAAAACTCGACTCAAACTCGAAATCCTGAATTGAAGCTCGTGAACAACTCGAAAAAGCTCGAAATGAAAGAAAAAAAACTTAAACTTAACTAGATTGAAACCTCAAACTCGAATCTGAATCTTAAATATATAAAAGTCTTATTGTATTTTTTTTAAAAAAAATCAACATATAAATGTTAATATTATTAATAATTTATTTTAAAAAAAATAAAATCTTAATATATTATATCTTCGAGCTGCTCATGAGCTTTTCGAGTCGAGTATCAAGCAGCTTGTTTCGGCTCGTTAAGAATTTGAGTCGGGCTCGAGTCGAGTTCATTCGATCCGAGTATTTATCGAGCCTTGACCGAATCGATCTCGAGTAGCTCGCGATCTGTCTCGTCTCATTTACAGCCCTAACCGGAGGAATATTCCCTTACTTGGGTGCAAGACTAATGCATTTTTATTTTTGTATACAGATCAAGTGAGCACTTCAGCTGAAGCAGAGACTGTTGAAGAGGTGAACAAAGACAATGTGATAAAATGTTCATATCCTGCAATGACTAATAAAGGTATCATTAATTTACACAATTCATTGAAACATTCTCACCAACTTCTTTTACAGATGAAAGCAGCCTGTCGGGAGTGATTTAGGTGGTGTTCTGCCCTAATTAATGCTAAAGAACCACATGATTTATATAAGGGTCTAAAGATCTAACAAATATTTTTTAAGGTGAACACATATATTAAAAATATAAAATTTTATATCTAGATAGATATGATAAAATTTAGGGTAAACACGATAAAATTTCAAAGGAACACACGCATATATTAAGAAAAAAACTGAGTTTTAAGAAAAAAATTCAAATTCCAAAAATTTTAGGGTGGGCACATACCCATCCTAATGCCAATGTACATCCGTCACTTGTCTAAAATACAATCAGTTAACATAAGATTAAGGAAAACATCAATAGGTTGTAACATAAAAGCTTACCAAGTGTATAACACTTTAGGTTGAAACCGAAAATATTACGTTCTCTCTACAACAAATTATATAAATTACTGACAACATTTTAGGTTAAAAACAGCTGCATTCTTCTGTTTTTTATATGTTGATGTTTGCATAGGATTTTCAAAACTTTAAAGTGAAGTCTCAAGACCTGTTCTGGGTTTTTTTCTTTATTTACTTGGTTGTTGCTTTAAACTGGGATTGTTTTTGTCTGGTATTCTATACAGTCACTTGAGACACATAA